ACCGTATGAATGAATAATATATAATAGATTAAATACGCGTAAAACATATTTTATTTAAATTAGTTATATTGTCAATTTTGCACAAAAAATATTTAATATGACGTACTCAATAAAAACAAAAAAATAATAAATATTAGATTAAGAATTTTTTAGTCAATATTATTTTATAATATAGTAATACATTTTGTTAGTTAATTACTATTTGAAAAAATCAAAAATTTTAATTATATTATTATAAATCTATGATCTAAATATAAATATATATATATATTTATCTTATTACCAATTTAAATTATTGTATAGAGCTGTAATAAACCGAAACTGGTACATTCGTTTCAATATTTAGTTGAAATTACATTTAGAATAAAAATACGTATAGCACAAAGTTTTGTTTAACAATTTCAATGTATTCGTTTGTGGATATAATATAATTATTAATATCGACATCAATATTATACCTGCCTTCATAATAATCATGTTATAATATAACTTTAGTAAATAAGTGCATTAGAACTGTGGAAACTATTCAAATATAATATATGCAATTCGATGATTGTACTTAAAGTTATTTAATTTAATTTAGAAAATTAAACGTGTTATTTACTTATTTATTGGCCTTTTTAAACAAAATATAAGGTTAAAATTACTATTACTATTTGCTTTTTGTTAGTCATTATATTTTAGAAAAGTTAATTATGGTTGAAGTAATTTTAATTTATAAAAGTTATAAATTGTTCAAATTTCACAAATTTATAATATTATCATACTTTATTTTATTAAATACAAAACAACAAAACTAACTTATATTTCAGATGAAATAAAAATTTTTAACAACACAGTTAATAAGAAAAATAAATAGGTTTGTAAAAATAATATATGGTAATTTCAACACAAACATGCAATAAGTTACCCACACTCTTAAATATATATAATATACATGATATGATAAACATTAATTATTTTAATTTACTCAGTTAAAATGTTTTAACTGTAAAAACTCAATACACTACTTACTTTTATGTTAAAGGATTCCAGTTTTGGGGTGAGCTATTTTCTAATGTCAATAATGAATTAAGAAGAACTCAATTATGATAAAGTGACAAAATTGGTTCTTTTACTTGGAAAATTCTTAAATTTTATTATTAATTTACCATTATAACAAGTACTTAAATATTAAAACAAATAATAATGTGTGTACAATAAAAGTATTCTTATGTACATGTATAAGTTTCATGAAAATAGTTAAGACTTGTAAATATATTATATATATGTATACTTTAATATGACCTTATTTTTAATGGAATAACCATATTTGTGACAAACCAATTAAGAAAAATATTATATGCTTTAGAAAATCTAATTAAAATTCAGCTCATTAAATTGATTCACATTATTCAACGATACATTTACGTTAACTGTTAAGTATCGTTGTGAAGGAGTTCATTGTAAACTCGAGTATGGTGAAAATGTAAAAACTTATTTATTTGTCACTCAATAAATCGAAGTTAGAAAAATAAAAAATTGATTTTATATTCAGATAACATCACTTATAAGTCTTTAATTGAAAAACAGAAATGAGTTACTAAATCATAATATTGTATATATATTTTTTTTTTTTTTTTTTATTAGAAATCAAAATAAATGGTTACAAATTAAACACATTTAACAAATAGGTACAGTTTTGATTACCTACCTCCTGTAAGCTAATAGCTTGTGTTGGAGGTAGGGAGTTATTACATTTACCAATAAAATAAAATAAAATAATTAGGTAATTTTTATAATATTACGTACATTGACTTATGAATATGAACACTTTAAAAAATATAATATAATAATAGAAAAGAAAAGACACAGTGATGTAAAGTTTTAACATAAATATATTAGTAATACATTTAGTTGATACAGCATTATAGCAATCAAAAAAAAAAAAAAAAAAAAAAAAACTGTTACATATATAAATTACATACAATTTAGCATTTATACACATCATAATTCAATTCTAAAAATATATATTTATATAATAATCCTTTAATATTAACTTTTTTACTTGTAATAATATTTCTTTTAAAGTCCAGAGGCATAGAATTGTAATAAGTCGGGCCTAGATAATCTACAAATGTTTGACCAAAGGATTTATAGGTATATTTAACTGGACAATCATATTTTCTAATTTCTCTTATATGACTATTATCACTATGTAACTGATCAAAACCAGGTTGTTTAAAAATGAACATAATTGCTATTTTTTTATATAATTGCCTTACTGGCAAGACCCCTAATTCCTTATAATTTTCAATTGTTGATCCTTTCAGTGAAAGCTTATTTAGGCAAATTCTAACAACGTTATTTTGATTTATTATTAGGTGATTTATAATATTGTCTCGAAGGCCACCCCATACTAATAAACCGTACTGGAAATTGGACTGGTATAGAGCAAAATAAACTAATCTCATAGTTTGCTTTGTAACTATTTTTTTTAGTTTGAACATATTATAAGTTATGAAGCGTAGTTTCCCTAATAGATTGTTAACATGTAAGTTCCATTTCAAGTGGTTATCAATAATTAATCCTAAATATCTTATTTTTATAACTTTATTAATTTGCTTACAGTTAATTGAGTTACAGTTATTGTTATTAGAACATTCGTGTATTGAAATGGAGCTAATAGTAGATTCGGATTTGTTAATAGAGAACGGAATAAATACTGTTTTTTCTATGTTTAAGGATAGATTTCTTTCTTTCAATGTTTTTAATATTTTACAAAAGCCATTTGCAGATTTTTCATAAACCCCTTCCCATGTATTATGTGAGAAAAGCAGACAGGTATCATCCGCATATGTTACTATTGAACCCTCAATGTTAAGATCACAAATTTCATTTATATATAAAATGAATAAGATAGGGCCCAATACACTACCCTGAGGTACTCCATATTTAATTTCATACATGTTACCATTAATTCCATTAATTTTAACTGTTTGCTTTCTATTAGTTAAATAGCTTTTGAACCAGGTTAGACTACATTTATTTATTCCAAAGCTGGGCAATATACTTAATAAAATTTCGTGATCAACCGTATCAAATGCCTTAGCTATATCTAAGAAGATAGCCAATGATTTTTTATTATTATCTAATGCGCTGTACAAATACTGGGTAACCTTATAAAGGGCATTATCAGTACTCAACCCTGGCCTAAAGCCAAATTGGTTTTTTGATAAAAGTTGATTTTTTTTTAAGAAAGATATTAGTCTTAATTTAATAATTTTTTCAAAAATTTTAGAATAATTACTTAACATGGATATTGGCCTATAGTTGTTCATATTTGTTTTATCCCCACTCTTGAATATAGGCTTAATATCCGCTATTTTTAGTTTATCCGGGAAAATGCATCGCTTTAGACTTAAATTATATATGAAAGCAAGGGGATCTACTATGTATTTGCTTATGTGCTTTAGGATTTTCACGGTCACTCCATCCAAACCCGCTGCCGTGTCATCTTTAAGACTATTTATAATAATAAGTATATCTGAAGATTCAATTGTATTAGAAAAAATTTCATTAAAAGAAATATTTTTAAGTTCGTGGTATTTTTTTGAAGTAGGTGATTTATTTGTTATATTTTTCGCGATATTAATGAAAAAATTATTGAACATATTGGACGCAGTTATTGGATCATTTTTAGTATGTATTTCATGTTCATTAAGTTTTATTTTGAAAATTTCATTATCACTTGTACATTTAGATCCGGTAATCTCATTTATTAGTTTCCAGGTTAATTTAGCGTTCGAGTTAACATTTTTAAATTTTGTTTGGTAAAATTTCTCTTTTGCTAGTCTTATAGTTTTTGTGTAATTGTTTTTGAATTTCTTATAATGTAAGTTTAACTGTACATTATTAGGGTGTTTTTTACATTTCATTGAAAGAGACTGTTTGTGTCGGGCCGAAATTAATAAACCTTTAGTCATCCAATCTTTTAGTTGCTTATTCTTAGCATTCATTAATACAGTAGTTGTTGATTTAGTAATTTCATTTTGAATTATATTTTCAAAGGCATTATAGCATTTATTGGCATCGTTGAATTCATTATACACTTTATGCCATTTTTCATTAATTAAATTAGATACAATTCTATTATAATCAATAATGTTAAACCTTTTGTCCTTATTATCTACTTTGGCATTGTTAGGTATAGAAACACATATTGTACAGTGATCTGTGATATCTGATAGTATCACACTCGAATTAATTTTACTCATTAAGTTTTCGTTACAATTAATTAATATGTGGTCTAGACACGAATGATTAAAACCCGCAGGTAATCTAGTAAAAACATTTATGAAAGATATGAAACCACATTCAGACAGTAAATTTAGATATTTATCATTTTTTTTCTCTTGAACACCAACAATATTGATATTCATGTCTCCTGCAATAACGGTTAACGTGTTACTATAATTATTTTCTTTAATGAGGTAACTTAATGTTTCGATAAAGACATCATTATCAGTATTGGGTGACCTATATACACATAGTAAGTTAATTGGAACAGCTGTATTGGGAAAGTGTAATTTAACTATATTTGAGTCAACGAAATTATATTCAAAAAATTCTAAGCTCAGGTAATGTTTGACAAAAACCATTACACCATCATTTTGATTTCTCTTTATGGATGAAAAGAACAAGCTATAGCCAACTATTTCATAGTTACAAGATAATACATTATGCCAGGTTTCAGTAAGAATAATTATATCAATATCATTAAAATTTTTATCATTTCCCAAAAACAAAAGGAGCTCATCAAAGTGAGCATTAACACTTCTTATGTTACAACATATTATATTAAAGTAGTTGTTGTTGATATTATTTATACATACATATTCATTAAATGATTCGTAATAATTTGTTTTATGATTCAAGTATCCTTTACATAATTTTTCCATTACAAAATATTTTTTTTTTTTTTATTTTTTTTTTTTTAGAGTTTTTTTAGAGTGCGTGTATATTAGGTAGAGCAAATTAAGTTAATTTTGTTAGAGACAGTTCACTGTCTACTAGAAATGCTTTCGAGTTATCATTTTTTTTTATAAATAGCTTTGTATCTTTAAACCAAACATATCTATATCCCGATTCACGAGCAAATGTTTTAGTTTTAAAGAATAAGTTTCTGTTAAATTGAGTTAGGTTATCATTTACATAAATAGCATTATTTTTCCAGTCAGCATCAACATTACTACCTGTTAACTTCGTTTTCCTGGATAGTTCAATCATTTCTTTTTTGTTTTGTTTCATAGTTAACTCCGCAACAATTTTACTTGGCCGTGTCTTGATTTTTGAGTGAACACGAAACGCATTTACAACTTCGATTTTCAATTTTAGAGATGTAGCAATTTTTTCCACTGTTTTCTTACAATTTTCATTACTTATTTCAGGAACACCAATAATTTCCACAAAGTTATCGAGAGTTTTTTGTTCTAAATTATTCATTCTTTTTTGCAAAAAATTAATATCATTACGCAGATTATTATTTTGCTCCTTTAATATTCTATTTTCTTCCCTCATAGTGTTAATTGATATCACAAGTTCTTGTATTTGACTACCAAATGTATCAAACTTGTCGCTCATGAAATTTACCGAGTCAACGAGATTTTTGAAAGATTCATTTGTTAGCAATTGATCCACTTTAATATCCGCACGAGTAATTATAGGCGTTTCCGAAATAGAATTATTAACGGCGTTTTTACATTTGATACAGCACCAATTTTTTTTTGCACTTTTAGACATTTTTCTAAAAGCCGTTTCCCTTAGCGCAACACAACCAAAATGGTGAAAGCCATTACAGGATGAGCATTTTATTTCATCTTCATCAAAAACATCGTCATTACATATATTACATAGCATTTTACGGCGAATTCGATATAAAACGTAATCACTAGGTAAATTACTATTAAGCGTTATTAATAATAGTAGTAGGCATAAAACGAAGGCACGTATGACAGTATTAAGTACAAAGTACGTAGATAAGCGAGCGACGCGGAGCGAGAAACCTCCTATCGTCGTGGTAGCTGATGATAAACTAATATATATATATATATTTATAAATCATTAAATTTAAAGTAGTTTATATGTAAACAGTTTAAATTATAATTGTATAAAAATCGATAACAATAATTAGTAAATCATATAATGATTAATGTAAATTAGTAAGTTAAAATAAGTATAGAAATAAAATCTTAAATGAGAAATTTATTAATTAAAAGTATTTACAGTTTTGATGGGTTATTAAGTGAATACATTTTGTAGAGTACTTGTGACATTTTACTTCACTTGAAATACTACTGTAGCAAGAAAAAAAGTTTTATTTCAGGCATTTTCATATTTTTCTCTGTCTGATTATAATATATTATAATATATCAAGTAAATTGTATAACATGATTAATCAAAAAAAAAAAAAAAACTCAAAGTGAATTTTTTTTTTATTTTTTAATTTAGAACATATTGATGATATTTTTAAGTTAGTTAAAAATTATGTACTTTGGTAAATATTTGTATTTTACGAGTTAAATACAAAAAATATTTATTCAGTTGTGAATTTTGACGTTTAGTCAAATTAGACCTTTATTTTTTTATGATCACCTGGTAATTTAAATTAAAATAAAATATATGGTACATCACAGACTCGTATTTACCAGTGTGAATCTAATATTACAAATCATTTAATTTAAATACTACGTAACAACTAATATAAATTGTATTTTATACTATAGAATACTCTGTGTATATGCCAATAATACTACTAACGTATAATAAAATACGATGTAGATCGGTTTTAATACCGGTATTAACCATAACGGTGACAGAAACTTTAAATTTTATTTTTATGATCTGAACCATAGCTAAAACCTAAATATACATATTATCAATATTACATTATTTTATTATTTTATAAAATAACACAAAGTCAATATTTGGTCATATTATCATATTGTTCAGACAACAGTATAACCATTAAAATAATTTAAATTTTAACAATATTGAGATTATACGAGCGATTTATGATAACAGTTTCACAGATGATCACTCGGATTCTTTATATGTCACGATCAACTTAATACACGGAATTCCGTTCAATAGATTAATTTAGCGAATTCGTAGCATGGTCACGAGGTATGGTACAAATATATTGTAAAGAAATGTATTTTTCACACTTACAAAAAAGACACATAAGTTATGCTAATGCAATAATATTCTTATAACGCATATACGCGATTTAGGTATTCAGGTAAACACTATACAATTAAATAGTACAGTGTTTACACTCAACACCAACGGTATAGTGGTACCTTACGCTATGCGAATTAAACTAGTACTTGAACGCACTCCACACTCACACGCGTTTGTTTATATCGCGAACGGTTACCATTTTAAATGGGTAGAGCGAGAATAAAGAAGACCCTCCACCATTATGCGAACGCTTGCTCAACATCGAGAACTCTTATTGCTCACCGTGTTGGAATTGTCAGATACAATCCGTAAAAACAATCCGTTCATTATTACCCGCGTTATGCATATGTTGTTTTTTCACTACGTTGACGGACCAGTACATTCTTTGCCGGTCGGATTTCATTACAACTCTTGTGATTGCTTGTAAAGTACATATTATTATTGCCAACACGCTCTTCGTTGAGTGTCACTGCACGCAAAAGGTATTTGATCTCAGTAGAATATCATTTAATACTTGCTCGAGTACCTACCCTTTGATAGCACGTTAATTAGCTATCAATTCGTATATATAGATACGATATGGTTATCATGGTAAGACAACTTAAACCGGATAATGATTTGTTTGTTATTCTCATTGATAAACATCTAAATCCGTGTTACTAGAAAACCAAAAATCAAAAACCACAATTCGCGTTCAGAAAAAAACAGATATGCCGTATTGTCAAAATAGAGATAGGTATAATTAGGTAATATACTTTATGTATGGATAAGGTGAAACGCGTATCCGTGACTGCGATTCAGCTAAACTCAAACTTATCTGTCAAATAAAAAACAAACCCACCACAGTTTTATTCTATTATACAAGAAGACATGGTCTTCTTGGAAAAGAGAAAATATATATCGTTGAAATTAGATAGAATTGTATTGTTCACAAACCTTACTGCACAATGTCCTGACTGGATCAATATAAAATCCAAAGCTCACCGTTGCTGTCATGACCAATCGAATTTAATCATTGTCATTTCGCACCGAAGAAATCACATACTTTCGATAAGCGCGTCATAATATAATATCATCGACATCGAAACAAAGTATAAAGAATTTCGCTTGTGACGATCATTAGACGTATAATAGTTCACAATGCACAGATCGCATTGAAGAACAGCATTTATAATTGAGTACAGTGGCGTATTTACGGGGGGGGGGGAGAGATCAAGGGGATGAATGCCCCCCCATAGGCTGTATACACACAAATAATTATAGTCATTATATTATTTAAAAAACTATTATTATTACTTTTTTTTTTTATCAATAATTGATTAAATTTGCAAGAATTAAAATATTATAATATACTGTACAATATTCTCATTGGTATCTTCAATTATAAAGTCATACCCCTCCCCCCCGTGACAAAAACCTAAATACGCCACTGATTGAGTGGGTTAATTTGTTGCAGGTAGTATTATAGTTACAACGGTAGCCGAAATGAAATATTATATAGATACGATCTACAATGAAATTAACAATAACCGTCACACGTAATTAAATCAAAATAGGGCTTTATTATTTCAAAGGGGTCCGATAAATAACATATGGTGATATGGTTATGGGAGTTGAACCCTTTTTCCACCGACATAAGAATTTTATAAGAAATTGGTTTTCACTTTTGTAGATTTAACTAAACGCTGGATTCTCGAGTGGTTATAACTTTTTATTCAGAGTTCAAAATCCCGTAGAAACGAGTTACACATTCCAATCAATGAGTAGATTAATTTGAATACAGTTTTATTATGCGAACAATTTAGTTTTTTACGGTTCTTGCAAATGCATGATAAATTTTAAATTATAAAAATATATATTTTCGTATATTTACAGATATAATAATTTATAATTGTGATGAATAATACTTTATTAAATTCTCGTTGAAAATAGAACCTAATAATTTCGGTTATATTATGTAATAAAAATAACAAATATGTGACAACTATACAACCGATATTCGATGAACTATTATGTTTATGATTGGCTATTATGGTACAAACTTTTTGTCACAGTTTAAGGAAAATATAGTTTGAAGATGTATGCAATAGTATATTTTAATATAATTTTGTAAATTAAATTAAATTTTGTGTGCTTTATAATATGTTTGCTGTACACAAAAATATTATAAAAAGAAATAATTGGTAAAGACTAAGGCTAGGATATTTACACATAAAAGTATTTGTTTTTTACTTTAAATATTGGTTGTTAGTTGTATCTTGTGTCCACGTTTCAGATATTATATTATAATATAATATAATTATAATTATTAGGTATATTATATTTCGAATATTTCAATCAAAATACACTTTTATCATTTTATCATTGAATATTTTGAGATTTTTGATAAACGTTTGAAAAGTTTAATTGTAAAATCCTATTTAGTTAATGAACATTGATATTGTAATAATTTTTTTATTTATTTATACTATTGATGAACTTTATTAACTGAACTGGCATGATTTAATATTATATCAAATAAATGATACAATTATATATTTTCTTAATAGGCTCGTGGACTATGATTTTTCATTATTTAATTCACTTGTTAGTATGACACATGTAATGTGTATACCATAAAGTGTTAAGTGTAAATTTTATGGAGATCATTTTGATGAATATCTAAAATGTAAAGAAAAAGTGCTAAATTATAATAATTTTTGAAGAATTTTCTAGTAACATTTCAAAACTGATGGTAAAACAATGAATTGTATTTTTTAAATTAAAAACATTATACCTACAATGATTTTTACAAACCTTTTTTTTTAAATTTTAGGTTAGGTTTGCATAAACCAACAAATGAGATGACAATAATACACACAATTATTCCTCAAGAATCCTTATGCAATAAATAAAATATTTGGTACAATACATTATTGATTACGTGATGGTCGTGATGTTAGTTCTTATAAATTCTCTCATATCGTATTATTTTATCACTTGGTTAATCTAGTAATATTTTTTTGATGAGAAAATGTATATTATTACTTGGTAACTGACAAAAAAAAATAACGAATTTTTAAGAAACTAAACTGGATGGGACACATGCAAAATTAGTACACATTTTTTTTTTTTCAGAAACAATGTTAATTAATTTGATTTGCACAGCGAAAATTTGAATCACATTTTATACACGAGCGCTAAATTTACAATACAATTGTTTTTTTTTTTCATTTCTAATCCGTGCCTATTATTTACAAAGTGAAATAAAATCGTATAGAAAATAAATTTAATCAAATAGAATAAATCAATTGCTACGACGCTACAATAAATGAAGAACGAAATAAAAAAAAACGACATATAACAGAACAAAATCAACGGCTTACATACTATTTAAACATAATATTACTATAATATAATATCATACATTATATTGTGGAAGTCACAAAATATCTTTTTAAACATAATCAAGAAGAAAAAAAAACAGTCTACAACATTATAATCGTTATCAATATCACAATAATAATATAACAAAACACTCCGACAAAAGGCAGCGATATTTAATTTGGAATAGAAATTAATCATCTAATATTGAGCACGACATGGTGCAGGAATGTAAAAAAAAAAATGAAAATTAAACACTATGTGTATAAAATATAATATAATAGTGACCGTATTAATAATTAAATCGAACAAAGGACAATAAACATTACATTTTGAGCTATTATATTATTATGTAGTTGTAAAGTTTTTGTTTTTTTTTTTTTTTTGTTTTTGAAGACGACTAAATAATTAATAAATAAATGATAATAATAAAAAAACTACACATCTGATGACAATATTATATTATATACATAAATGTGAACTGCACAGAATTACTCGTACAAGTGGCAATTGTAAACAAATCAAATATAACAATAATCTATATGTGAAATAATCAAATAAATAAACAATATTATGATTCAAGAAGAACAAAATGTTAAATATCGTGTTGAAATTATCAAACTTAACTTATTGCTTATATAAAAATTAAAGAAATTAATAAAGAAGAAAAAACAACAATAACAACAACAACAAAAGTCAATGTTTAAATAAAATTTTAAAAACATTTGTAAATGTATGGTATTTTAATTTTTTTTTTTTTAATTTTTTTCAAAATATTTTTTACTAAAATAAAAGTGCATTATTAAAATGTTACACGTGCGTTGAATTTACCTATAAGAAAATTGTTTACAATACTTATTGTTGTATAATAATAAAAAGTCACATTTTACAGACGAAAGAATTTGTTGTGCCAAAAATCGATAGAAAATTAGATTCAAAATATAAACAATTAAAATATTATTAAAACCTTACGAAATTGTAAGGTATGCAAGTCACAAAAGTCTTTAAGAAAACATTTTTTTTTTTTTGTACTTCTAACATTAATTTATCATTATTATTATACACCGCCTACTAGGTATACATTAGAATTATTAGGTAATCATTGTATATTTCGATTTTTTTTCATTTTTTACCCGACTAATCCGCGACAGGATATATGCGGAAGGCACTTTTTCAAATTATCCCTACACGACAGTGTGATTCTGTGAGTTTATGTTATTTTACATCTAAAAAATTCGGTGCGTATAACAGACCAAAATTTACAGAGCCCACAAAGTAATAGTCATTTAAATCAATTAGCGTTGAGTACGAGTACGCAGTTAATCGCCAATTTCAGTGCACATTTATTGTCTGTCGTTTAAAACTCAATATTACCGTCATTTTTATTTGTTTTAATTTACGAACAATCGACTTTTAGTGGGGAATATCAATCGCAAATAGTCATATGTATTATTTTTTAGTTTGTACACCGCATAAAAGACATCCCGTTAGATAGTCTGAGTGCCAAAAAATAAAATCATAACATTTCGTTTAAGATCCCAGTACAAGCCCATGCGAATATGATTATTAAAAATGCAATTGAAGTTAAATGATTGTTCTCGTTGATTGATTTGTTTAGAAAAGACATTGCGAACAACTGGTTTTATCATTTTCGTAACAATTAAACACTCAGATTTTTAAACACTGTGTACTGTAGAACGTTTTGGTGTAATTGACTATATTATTGTAAATGTTAATAGTTAGTTATTACATTTAAACTTAATTTTTTTAATAACGCACATTATTTGATTACTCATGTCATTGAAAATAGAAAATACTTATGATATTTACTATTGGATTTGAAAATTTAAAGAGTTTAATAAAACGTATTTATTTCGATATATTATATTACCGACATTACACAATACCTGAAGTCCAGAAATTCATTAAATTACTTATAAAATATTAAATAATACTATCTGATCTTATACTGAAGAAGGCACTAAATCAAGATAAAAGTCATTAAATTTAATTAGAAGGTAGTAAACGTTTGGTAAAATGTTATAATATTTTGTTATAATAATAATTAGATAAAATAAAATAATTATAATGCACCTCATTCAAAAACGAAAGCTCCTAACTACTCTAGTCCGAAATTAGTCGAGATCAAAATAATTAAACGAGTTATCATTGTTAGGGATCGCAATATTCTTAATATTGTTCGAAATAATATGTGTTATTACAAAGTAGATCAAACTTTTGAAAACAATTATTCAAACCACAAAAGAAATTTGAGTATTGTTAAGTAAAACTTAAAATTTTATTTTTTTTTTATCTGTTTTTGTTATACTTCAATAGTAATTTAGAAAATTAACTGATTGAGTATGGAATAATAACGTCGTGATTTCGTAAATGGTTTTATGATTTATTTTAATTTACTCGATTTTATTTTTACGGGACTAGAGTTGCTATGACCGAATAGGAAACTTTAGAGGGGAGAGGTAACGGTCACGGGAGTCTATATTCTTATATGAGGAAAAACATCTGAGATATTTGTAAGGAAAGCACTACACTCGGTGATAATAATAATAATAATATTACAGTAAACGTCGTTCATCAAAAACGAAAATTTGACAGACGTGTAACGAATATATAACATAGATTAATTAAATATTGTTCAATCATACAACATATGTTTGTTTTTTAAATGATTACTATTTAAGTAATTTTAAAAATATTGCACTCTCAATTAATATTTTCGTGATCCGGCTCTCTCCCTCTCGAAGGTTCGTTATCCTATTTATATTATTGTTTATTTTATTTATTAATCAGTTATTTGAGTACGTAAAATATTACAAGACATAAAACAAAACGTAAAAATATACCAAAATACACACGCATAACAATTAAAAATAAATAAAATAAAAAACATCTTACGTAGTACACAATTTTAATACATTATGTTATATATATATATTTATATTTTTGTTATAATTGTAAAAACGCAATCGATTTTTCGTAATAATAGTAATAATATCGTTATCACATAATTGTATAATTATTATTGTGATGTCAATAATAGTTTTTTTTTTTTTTGCAGTGATTATTTGTGTGCCGCTTGTACAGCGTGCTTACAGGAAGTCGTTGGGCCGAGGCGGACACGGCTTTTTGAGCGAATCAGTCCGGGGAAACGGCGGCGGCGACGTATCTCTGGGGCTGAACGGACGCATAGGTGGCAGTGCAGATGACGAAGATCGCGTTCGGGACTTGCTGCGCCGCCGCCGGACCATTGGTGGAAGTTTGGGTGTGGCTGGCGAGCTTAGATCATCTGTACTTTTGGTCCTGCACCCAGGCCGGCGTCCTGCTTCCGGCGTGTCCGGTGGCCGAAGCGATGCGATTGGAGACGGTGATGGAGCAGGTGAGGCGACAGTCAGAGCATCCAACTTCCCAACGATCCGGACCATCATATCTTCGATGGCCGTTAGTCGCTGGTTGATAGATCGTACCTCATCTCGGAGATCGGACCGGAGGTCTTCGATCTTGGCCAGAACGTCCAAATCCGGCGGTGGTGGCAGAACCATCGCAGGGCACGGTGGCGGTGGAGGTGATGGCGATTCAACTGTTGTGACCTGGTACTGTTGAGGCGGCGCTGGAGTTGTGGATTCTTCTTCCGGTACTGGTACACTACCACCACCGCTGCTACTGCCACCAACCCTTTCGTCCGTTTCATCGATCGTTTCCTGTCGCTGGCTTCCGCCTACGCCAATAAATGGTTCGGCGGCGGTAGTAGGTACTTTTTGTAGCTTTGGGAATACCTTGTGACCGTTTCCGACCGACCGGCCTGGTGAGTCACGTATCTTGGAAGGCGCGCTCTGGGCACTCATCAAAGATGCGTCTGCCGAGTCAGAACTTCCACCACCACCCAAAACTTTACCCCATTTAGATACCTTTTTGGGCGCCGCCACAGTTGCTACTGTTCTGAGGCCTGTCGACGAACAAGATGCCTGTTGTTGATCTTCGCTCTGTTGCCTGAGCACAAGCGGTAAGACTTTGGGACGACCACCGCCGACGCCGTCCGAAGCGTCGCCGGTGGCGACCTCAGACTTGCTCTCGTCAGAACCCGCCGTTATCGCAGACGTTCCCGACGCCGCTACTGCACCCTGTTGCATCCCGAGGACCTGACTGGGAGCTCGATCCTTTCGAAACTTGGTGAATATTTTTCTAACCAGTTGATCTCGCTGTTCGTCCAGTTGTGGTTCATTTTTTCGCTTTTCAGCCAGCTCTTTTTCTCGGCGAACATCCGCAACTTTCCGAAATATTAACTGAAATGATAAAAAAAAAAAAAAAAATAATATTTAAAATTGATAATCAATAAAACAGTAATAGGCTTCATCACAACCAAATACGTACCCTATGTCGAAGGTTATAAGTCAGTATGAGATTCCGTGAAAACGAATTTGCAAACGCCTGGTAGAAATCCAACACTTCTAGCAACCGATCACGCTTGATGGTGTGCAAGTCGCAATAGGTGAGAGCACGGACGTTTGCTGCAGATTGTCCTAGCGCTGTGTCTTTCCAAAACGAATCACCAAATACATCACCCTTACCTAAATCCAAAGATAATTATACATACAGATCTAATCTTTTTTTTTTTATCACAGCAATACGTTTTCTTACCCCATTATTGACAAGAATAGATTTAAAATGTTAATGTTTATGAATTAATTCATTGCGAATTAATACAAAAACATTTAAACGCAAAATGAAACACAGCATTATATCACAATTATAGTGATTTATAAATATATTGCTAAACCAATGACATTTAAAATATAATTTCAACAAAATTGAATGAAAACAAAACGTAGAGCCAACAATAATTATAACTATATCATATTATTTCTAGCTCAATACATTTTATCGAGTTATTAGTTTCTTAAATTTGACTTTTATTTTATAGTGCAATTTTGTTATATCAAAGTATAATTATATCAGTATAGTTTTGTTATTTTATCCATATAACACTAACCTAAGATGGCGACCACTTCGTCGTCTTGTATGACTTCTAGCGAACCAGTTACGATGAAGCACAGTGAGTCGATTGACTCGCCGGTGTGGAAGAGTAAGTCACCGGGTGCCGAGTGGCTCATTGTGAAGTGCATGGCCAGAGCGCGTAAGCACCCGTCGCTGGCCAACCGGAACGCCGGGTGCTCGTTGAACACTTTTCGGTTTAGATGAACACATATGTCCGCCTTCATGTCTTTCGGACAATAATTTAACACCTAATAAAAAATAACACAATAATTACAAAAATATTATACTCACAAAAACAATATTAATATAAGGACGGTGATAATGCGATTGCATTGATTACATTTTTATAGAAATCACTTCAATTTTGTATCTGGGGATGATATAACCACGATATCGTTTGGGAACCAAATTATTTGAGCGTTGGGCTACTTGGACTCCACTCCACATCAGTTATAAAGTATTAAAATAATCTTATCCACTTTAATCGACCACAATGAAAATATTCATCTTAACCATATTTAAGCATATATTATGTTCATTTAGAGGTTGATTTGTAAATCATATTTTTAGATTATGACATTTCGTAAATTTTATTAGTAGTACCAACAATCGATTCAAGAACAAGAATCATGTTATAAGGAAACTTCAGTATGAAGAAATGTATATAAGGCAAATTTGTAAATATTATACATAATTGTTAACTATGAAGATCCATCATGTTAACAGTTGTAAAGTATGTTTATTTTTGTATGTAGAAAAAAAAATTCCTTGAATGTGAAAGATTTTTGTGATAAGTGTATTTTGAGCTCAAAAAATATTTAATTATGATAATTTAATATAAATTAATAGACTTTGCTCCTAAATTTCTATTATCTCTGGTATTAGACATTATCAATTCCCTAAGGATGTTTAATCAAAAATTGTTTTTATATTTTAACACTTATAAGTCACATCAGTTAATCCTTTAGAACTTAGATAGTCATTTTTTTTTTTTTTTTAGTTACCATAGACATACAGTTTTAGAAAATAAAAAAATTTAAAACTTTTTATTTTATAGATAGATCAGTTTTATATCATGATTATGGATGTTAATACCGTAGTAAACAATAACATCATTAAATGTGATCAAATTGTGTCTTATAAATTTAAAATTGATTTTCAGCTAAATGAGATATTCATTTGAAAAAAAAGATTCATATTAGGAAATTTAAAGCGATGATTGTCCGTCAAATGTAAATATTTATACGTCGTTTATTTTAAACGTTTCGATGGAATAAGAATTACAATAAATAATTTATACTCTAATTTAAACGTGATATATTTAGATGGCTTAATATATTTAATTTTTTTTAAATAAATGCATGTTTAAAGGTAATTTGCACAAACTTATAATTATTGTACTCAGTCTATAATATTAATTTAAATTTACCTAGATCAATTTTGGATTAAAATTTTGTATTTCAACTTTCAAACGTTTGAAATTACATGTCATATAAATCCAAATTAATTTGCTATTAATGTTGTATGTTAAAATCTGTTAATTTGTATATTATTCGTTCTATATTGTTTAATTTTAGAAATCTAAACTAATTAAATTTAATGTATTTTTATTTTAAGTTAACATTAAAGTACTTAACTAGATAGAGAAATTATCTCTTAAACCTTGTAATAAACTCAGAATTTTTGTTCTATGATTTTATAATTTTGTTTTTTTAAATTGATTTTATATTCTGTTTCTAATTTTAGATAGTACAAAATATATTTCATTATTACTATTATTATTATTATTTGAATTATTCTTGAAGTTTTCTTAAATCGACTTCACCACATTTTCAATTTCCTCTTTATAAGTTTCATCGAAATTAATTCTAAACATAATAAATTTAAATATTGTCATAGTCAATAAAATTGTTTGGTAAAATGTATATTAAAGTTTAAGAAATTTAAAATAGCATGCTTTAGACTGCATCCGACGAAAGTCGCTTTTAAAATACGATTATTTGTCATTTATTTCACTTTAGAGTTCAGATGGTACCGCAACACTAATATAACACACCCTATAATAGTGACTTAATCTAAAATACCTTAAATAGGTAATCGATGAGTTTACAATATAACATAGCTTGCGGGTAGTCTTAAAATATAATTATGTAGTTAAATGTCTTAAAATTAAATTTTCCAATTACGACCGGTATAATAGTTTGACGATCATAATAATATTATCATATATTATCAATGCCACGTATACATTGGAGTGATTTAATTAAGGTCGGTTATTAATTCCATTTAATCTTTTGAGTACCCAAAACAAAGTATGGCTCCGTCCATTACCCAAAAGGGAATGCGCATAAGTAATAATTTACGTAAGCCGTACTTTATCCGTGTCCAAGCCCCGGGTCATTGCCCACGTAGACACCACGTAGTCCATGACCCTCTCGGACAGCGCTTTTGGCACTTCGTGCAGCTTCATGAATTCTCTGACATTATTTAACATGTCGTGGTACTTAGCCGTAGCTGAAGTCATTTGCTGTATGATGGTGGTGACGTGACCGAAAATCGTAGCGTACAACAGTGCTGCAAGTATAATTTATTAAGTACATTTTAATATTATATTATATTCTATAAAAAATAATAATATAGTCTCATGATTTGGTTGGCATTAATAATAAATTATAATAATTTAACTTTATCATGTCAAAAATACATTTTTTACTTATTGTCGAATTTGGTGTATGCTTTTGATGTTGATGAGTGACATTGATTTGATATACAATTTACTTATGTCTTAAATTCTAATTAACTATAAATATCAACAACACTATACCTATATAATAATAAACGGTACTTAATGTTTTCAATTTTTACACAAACTAAATTGATAGAATATAACTGTAATGCACAGTAATTACTTTTAAAATACTTATTTTTTTAACAGTTCATCAATTATTATTTTGCACAATTCTTCTCAAACTCTTTTTAATTTATTAGTAATTACCTTAAAATCGAGTTTTTTTTCATTCGTTTAATCAATAGTTATTTTATTAAACATATTATATTATTAAGAATCAAAACGACTAAAACTGAAATCGTAAAATATTAATCGCGTATATTCAAGCAACAAGCTATTCATATAATGTTATTGTGTATAATATATTATACAAATTAATATTAAATTATTTTGAAGTATTTAAAACGCATTTATGTAAAAGTAACTACTAAAAGATATAGTATTTATGCACATAAATAGACTGTCGTTAATTGCACAACTAGGGCGTCATCAGTCGCAATTATCGCGCGACGTTTAAATTTTCTTTTTTTTTACGATAGAGATTTAATGATAATATTTTAACCATTCGAGAACAGTTCTGCGGGTAGTATTGTGTGGGGGAGGTATATAATACTTACACGCAATGACCATCATGCATATGGTGAAAATCTTCTCGTTATCGGTCTCTGAGGCAACGTTCCCGAAACCGACACTCGTCATGCACGACATGGTGAAGTACAGCGCGGTCACATACATGGTCTTTCGCGGCGGACCGTGCACTAGCTCCGTGGAATTGGCGTGTTCCGACATAATGTACGAGTACGGATACTGCGTGATGTTTGCTAGCTTCCACAGCCACGAGTATTGATATCCATTCTCAGCGTCGGACCGTCCTGTTTACATATTATTATTAAATTATTTTGTGTGTGTGTGTGTGTGTGTGAGAGAGAGAGAGAGAGAGAGAGAGAGAGAGAGAGAGAGAGAGAGAGAGAGAGAGAAAGAGAGAGAGTTAGAGAGAGCGCATAACAAACCTTTGATTTTTTTTTAAATAATGTTTTTAAATACTATTTATAAAACGTATATTTGTATATACTTTTCAATAATTGTCTGCCATTTATAGAATTGTATGTACAAATAACATAATGTATATACATACTGTAAAAATGTCGTGTTAAAAAATTATTTCAAACGCGATACACGATAAAATATTATAAAAGTTGTGTTTGATTACTTACCTATAGAATACCAAATACAGGCCAGCCAATGCGCCACCAGCATGTAAAAGCACAGCAGCAATATCAACATTGCAGCGCCATATTCTAAGTACCTGTCCAGTTTTCGAACGACCCTTCCCAATCGCAACAACCGGACAACTTTCAAAGCACTGAATAGGCTTCCAATACCCTGCGGAATGAAAACCGTTTCATTTAAACAAATCACTTTAATCATTATAATTATTATTAAATTAACTCGCATTATGACCAAAAATATAAAATAACAACAATCAAATTATTTTATTTTTGTCAGTAGACATTCAAGAAAATGATATAATCTAATCAAGTTATCATTAGTATTATTATTATGATAAATTATTCACTCGACGTTTAAAAATCGTGATTAATAGTTTTTTTAATACATTACAACAACCATATTACTAAACACAATGTAATACACAGCAAAAGACAATAACTCCGAATTGTTGAATAATATTTGACATATTATGTCACGATTATTCGACGTTGTTCAAATATAAAACCAATACCTAAATCTCACGAATTACTATAGTTGAAACAAAAATAAATATTAAACTGTGCCAAAAATATTCGTTCATTGATAATACAGCGAAATATACTGAAATTAAACTCTATCTTAACTGAAACATTATTTTGAAAAACAGTATAAAAAAAAATCATGAATTTTTAAATGAGTATCTAATACCATAGTGACCTAACCTAACATAAGCACTGTATGGTATGATGATAAGTGTAACGGTTAATTTATTCAAATTTATTTGAATATTTTATATAAGTGTTAAATCGTTTTATGCCTGAAAAAATCCCTATTAACGCCACCGACGACATAACATTATGATTTTGTGTATCATAATATTGTCTGTGTTTTGCTTTACGAATATAGTTTTTAAGTTAAGACTTGTTTTTATTTAAAATTAAACTATCGATATTATACAATACAATCTGCCGAAGGAAATGATTTACTGTTTAAGAGTACACTTTTACTAAATAAATCAGAGTACGTTGATAATTTAAATAAACATAATCATATAATTTTTTTTATTGATAAATTAATAATTTATTGTAGAATGGTATAATAAAAATATATTTTATGATACACACATTTGTCGTTGGAATCTAACGATCGTAATTCATTTAGAAATAATATCCATAATTATTTAATTTTTTCTGTTTTTCAATTGAAATATTATGTTAAAACTTAAAAGTATAGACAATATGTCGATTTTTTACCAACATGAATTTTATTTTAATGTTGATTAAAATGCATTTATTTTACATTATCATAATTATTATTTTGAAAAGTCGATATTGAAAATCGTATCTTTAATTAGTATTTATACACATCGATATATGAATTTTTTATAGTGTCATATTACTACATGCCTAGTTTTTTTTTTTTTACTCAAGAATCTGGTATTATTACAAATTATCTATATTTTATTTAACATAATATTATAGTGTCACATTTTAATTATGTAATTATCATTGAACTATTTCACATAATACAGCAGTATCGTATAAAACATAATTTATTAATGATGTTTTTGAATTCCATTGAGAAATACATGAAATAATATATATATATTTATAATACCATACGCATAATATACTATATGTATTGATTTAAAATAATTTAATAGATGTATTAAACGTATCATAACTTTTCTCCGTTTCGCTCGATTTTCACTATTTGAGTTTAGTACGCACTAGTGTGAATGTAGGGTAGCATTCCCAGTATTTAAAATAGCGAAATAACCATGGAATGTACTCGAAATTATCATTTAACAATAATAATTATAACTATATTGATTTTGAAAACGGTGGTATTCGTATACCTATGTAATAAATTCAATTATTTGCGTAGTTTACGACGGCAAGGGTACTGGTAAACGGCTATATAATATCAGTAAATATGTATTACTATAACTAAAAATATTTGGAAACAATATGCGTATGTTACGTGGTGGTAAAAATATGTATTCATAATATAAACGTGAGGTAAAATAAGCGGTACAGATAATCGTTTGCTGGAATGAAATCAAAATCGATAAACTGAATGTAAACCTCTAGTAGTTATAGAGTAGAAATCACAGATATATACTAATACTAGATAGCCGTCTTTGTATACACCGCCGCAAAATAATTGAAACCGACGCCATATGCAAAGAATACAACTCGGTAAACAAACGTTATCAATATTAGACTTTTATCAGTATAATACATATTATTATATTATAGACATTTATTTATATCATTGTATTACTTAGTACTTACCTATATTTTATTAATTCTCACTTTTTCAGTTCTCTGTTTTATAGTATTAGACAAAACTGTTAATTAACCTATACAGTATGTATTTATACTAATCTACGTAAATTTGGGATATAACTAAATTGTAATGTTTTATGAATTATGAAATATGAAATAAGGAAACATTGTCAAAAATACTAGGATATAAATTACAGGTACTACCTTATTATAATTACTTATATTATTAACAAAAATAACAATTATTAAACAGTAGGTAATACAAATATAAGTAAGTAGGCACTACTATTTACCAACAATAAGTAATTTATTATTCAACTAGAATACTGAACGACTGAACAGAATATCATAATATTATTTTGTTGTTTACTAAGTGATAACGTTTGTTTACCAAGAGTATTCTTTGCATATGGCGGCGTGTTTCACTGATAACAAGAAGACGGCTATCTAGTATTAGTATATATCTGTGGTAGAAATAGTCTCCCCAGGGAGGTGGGAGTAGTTACCTTCATTGTCTGTTATTATAACTATGTGTAAGTTATCACAAATTTGAGATAATATCCTTATGAGTACGCGATATAACAACATGCGGTAACTGAGACAAACAAGTTTTTATTCGGCTTTACTGATACATTTTTTCAACTGTCTATAAATAAAAAATAAAATAATATTACGATATTTTTGATTTATTATTATTGTCGTGTTATAATTCAAAATGTACAACTTTAAAATATCATAAAATATAATATAAACGTTTCAAATTAATCAAGAAGTTGCGTTAAATGTTTATTGATGGATACTTTCTAAAATATTGTTAACAATTTTTTATTTTTCTTAATTTTTTAAGATATTTGTTTTCCTAACAAAACTATAAATCTTGTGAAGTTGATAAAACACCTTTTTTATACATTTTTTCCAAAATAAAAGTGTATATTCTCGGAGTTTACCATGTATACGAAATGTTTTTGTTATTAATTTAAATATAATAATTTAAGAGCTTCGTGAACCACTATATTTATAATATAAACAACAAAACGGTAGATATAAACAAGAAATTCGATTTAATTACAAACCTTCGTCATATTGATTATAATCATGCAAAATGACGTGCTTTACGTGATATTATGATGGGTAAATATTAAATGCATTATTTCACTTTTTTATATGAACAAAATTTGAATTCTAAGTAAGCACTATTTTATCTGGCGTATTTACAATAATTTTAAAATTTCAGTTATGTTATGTTTTCTAGGCATCAAAATCGAACTTCTGTGCAAATCAGTAATATATGTTTGGTAAAAATAACGAAAACACATTACAAACATCGATATTTTTAACGATTAAGTCGAATTAGTTGTGCAACGTTATGATTTTGTAATATTTGTGTTTCAAAACACAACTTTTTTAATCAAAAATATCATGGCTTTGTAAATCATTCGCACAACGTCATCTAAAACCAATGCAGTGAGTAAAAGAGCGTAGATAAAAATAATACCACGAGTGGAATTGGGATTTGCGCCATAACCTCTCGTAAATACTGCAGCAATAGCACTCGTCAAATCGTAAAATACATGAAGAAAAAATTATTTCCTGAAAATATACGTGATATTACGATTTATTATAATATTTTTGTGCATTGTCACAATAGCATAACTCTAAAAAACATTATGTGCGCGCTGCGTAAAATCCTTTATCCTTCGTATTATTCCATCCTGGCTGCAAATATTGTCAGTCGTAACTCATAATCTAGAGACGTATCGCATTGTACTTCAAGCCCTAAAAACGTGGAGAATTATAATAATATGAAGTACATACATGCATTATACGCGTATGTCATATGCAATCGTAAGCCTTAGTAGAGATATATTAAAAATATAGACTTGGACCATGAAAATAAAAATGAACAACGTATGAATACATATCGTAACTAAAACGGGATTTTTTCTTCAACCATAATATAATAAGTTTTTAATATACCGTTCGTCTAAAATAAAATATCAATTATAGGAAGTTGTATATTATAATAACTAATAAGCGCTGTATTACAATTGTATAATATTAATTATAATAGTTAAATACAAATATTTAAAATTTACTCAAAAAAATCAGTATTTATTAAATTTTAATATTGTTTATGAGTTTATGACATTATAAAATTGTTACTTTTAAAACCATTTGTTGATACTCTAAAAAAAATATCAACGATCGATTTTAATACTATAAACTATTTCTCAAGATTTGTAATTTATCTAGACAAGACAAAAATATACATTTATAATAACTCGCGTGTCACGCACTTCTTAATTTTTTTTTTAATCATTACGTTATTTTCTTCGCGTTTTCTTTGGACCTTCAGAGAAGAGTTTCATGTGTCTAGTGTCTACCACACGATTTTTCTCGAAACGAAAGGTCGAACGGCGGGCATTTTGTCTCCGGCACCAAAAATTACAGGATTTCATTATTTATTTTTATTCTATTTTTATAATAAGGACATTATACTGTATACATAAAAGAACATTGCATAATGAAGGAAACCAGATCCAATTATTTTCGCTGCGCGACCTCGCCCGCGATAGCGTCCCCCTTGATTGTCCCGTATCTGCGGGTTCCAAATGAATCTGCAGACAAACAGTACAAACGCGAAACGTTAATAAAATAAATTGTACGACGGCAACAATAAAAAAAGAAAATAAAAAAAAAAAAAAAAGGGATTTTGGAGACGACAATAATATTGCTGCAGTCGAGCAAATACGGTTTGTTCTTTCATTGATCATAGACCGAGCAAACTAATTCGAATTCCCTCGACAATGAATTTTTTTTCTCTCCATCCGCGTTCTTTGATAAAAAATGAAACATTTTTTTTCTTGTTTTATTGTTGAAAAG